CCCCGTGGCTTTGCAGCAGAGGGGGGAAGCGCTCCACGGCCCCGGGCGGCCGGATCGTGCGATCCGGTGGGGGATGCGGTTGAACCTTGGGCCTGCAGAGCAAGTGCCAGAGCAGCTGCCCGGAGCGTCACCCATAAACCGAAAATTAACTCCCGAGGGGGAGAACCGCTCGAGTGACTTCAAGTTTGGGGGTATAATAACAGATTAAGGCGTTCGGGTGGGGGCTGGGGCCGGACTGGAGACTTCAGACGCCTTTGCTGTGGAGAAGCGGCCCAGAGCCCTGCCCGGGGCATCCTCACAGCGGCTGGGGCCTGGCACTGGTTGCGGTTCCCTCATTTCCATCCCTGGGCTCATTTTCACTTAACAGTTGCAGAGTTGGCCTGGCGTCTGTGACAGAGCAAGAGGGGGCCGTGCAGGTTGTGGGGAGGGCACATAATACCTGCAAAGCAAGCATGAGATGTCTAATAAAAAATAAATTAATTCTTGAGGACATGGAGTTGCATTCCCAAAAGGACCTTAGCTTTAAAGAGCCAAAGGCTTGGTAAAAAAATAATACTTAGTTCCTAAAGTAATTTTTGAAAACGAAAGTTTGATTTCAGTACCCCATGGGTGAAGTTATGCGTTGCAGGAGGTCAGATTGAAGAGCTGACCCAGCTCATCCTCCCCTCAAACAAGTCCTGGGGGTGGCCAGTTCATTTGCTAAGCTGACTCAGCTTGCTAACCTGAAGAGAAAAAAAAAAATGGTTATTTTGCTGGTTTAACTGTTTGAACTTACCCTGCGCAGGGTCTGATAGGTTGAAAGCTGGTGCAAGGCACAGAGGAAGGGGCCTTGACTGGAGTCTGAACAGAAAGGGAAGGGAATGGTTAGGACCGCGTAAGCTGTAAAGCGTAATTGCACCCCCAGGCACCTTTAAAATGTTTTCGCTTAAAGAGTTTAAGTTCAGGAGATGTAGGCTATAAGTCACTTAAATGCTTTTGAAAATCATTCTCAATATTTTAACATGGAAATCTTCCTCAGAACCATCTTCCTCCCAGGCTTTCATTTCTTTATAGTGCTTAAATTCATGCAAAAGTCATCTTAAATCATTATTAGGAAGATAAAATGAAAACACTCACTCTAATTCACCAAGAATATCCTACTTCGAAGCATTTATTTCCACTCTCTTTCTATTTGGGGAGCTGGGGAGAAATTAGGACTTCACATTTCTTACAATTAATACCCTGTTTCACTCTGGGTTCTCATCATTCAGCATACATCACTTTGCAGTTCCTGTTTGCATCGCTAGTTTTTGTAACTTCCACAGATTTGGCCTCAAATTTACACCTGCAAAACCAAAATGAACATCATGTAGCAAACACACACCAGGGTTACATAGAGGGCTGGAGTGGTGGGGTGGTTTTAGGGCAGTTTGGGTCAGAGAGGAAAAGGCTGAGGTAGCCGAGTGTTCTGTGTCAGGGCTGAGATTTAAGGTTTAATGATTTTCATTGCCCTTCACTTGGGCAATAAATTGCACCCCTGGAGAGAGGGGGTAAAACACTACTTTTCTGATTAAGGAGAATGTTATCCACAGGCCTCAAGACAGAGCAATACCTCCTTGTGAAACAATAATGATGATTTAGGGCACACAGAATGTCATGTACCCGTTTGGGTTTAACCACTAAAGCTACTCCTGGAGAGAAGGAAAAAAAAAAATAAATTTAGGACTTCTAGTGGACACAAATGTCAGGGCTGTATTTCAGTCCAAGATGGCTCCACAGGCTTTGGGTCTCATTACCAACGGTTTGGGTCTGCAAAGTGCTGGGTCTGCAGAGGCTGGCTCCACGAAATACTGAAGGCTGCAGAAAGTAACAACAGTTGGACTTGATGATCTTAAAGGTGTTTTCCAACCTAAATGTTCTGTGATTCCACAAGCACCTGGGCAAGGGATTACAGAAAAGGGAGTTCGGCCCTTCCAGGGAGCTCTTGGCACCTTTCCCGCTCAGCTCCCGCAATCCAGTTCTTAAAAGCCCAGATGCCAACGTCACAGGACCACCTGGAGGGTTGCAGGAGAAGAATCCTGTCACAGGGCTCCAAGGTCAAGCACCGTTGGGCAGAGTGATTCCCGAAGCATCTCTTAACTTTATTGCTAATTGCCAAGATGAGCAATTGCTCGGTATCTATTGCTACTTCCCCGCAGTTACAAAGTAAACACTGCACCTACAGGTCCGTTTTCAGGGTGATGCAAGGGGCATTTAACCACGCAACTCCCATTAATGTTAATTATAGAGCACATATTAACAGCATTATACGATCTTTTTTCCTATTAGCACTATCATAAATCTGATTGGTGGGGCTTAATTAGATCTCAGCAGCAGAATGCGATAGTTTGATACACAAAAGGGCAAATTTGTGGAGAGCGCAAACTATTATTATACTTTAATCTCAAAATCTCTCCTTCTATTACTCATAACACCAACAAGGCTTCTTGTAAGATTGATTTGTTGTCAGAAAATGATTTAAAGACCGACTGTAAAAATACTATATTTTCCTTGCTTCATAGAATGTGGCATTGATGTTAGAGCTCCACAGAGACTTGATGTACTTTCAAGATAGGGAACTCTAAAAGCCGAGTGCAAAATAAATAAGATGGCATCCTGCTGTTATTGTGGTAACCTTTACAGATCATTTCAGAACTGTGACTGTTGTGTAGTTCAGTAATACACCATGGGGGAAGCTGGAGCTTAGTGCAATTCTACCCTGGTCAGCTGAAGCCTGATGGTATTTGCGTTGGGGGGCCAAAAAGAGTGTCCAACATGAAGGGCACTAGGACATCTCAGAAACACAGAAATAACAGATAAGAAGAACTAAGAAAGTATTAAAGGCCAAGCCAGACTGTCATGATAGAAAGTTGATTGCCTGCTTAAGGCATCTAGACTGAGCAAAAGATCTCTGCTCGAGATCAGCGCTGCAGTTACATCCCTGCTGAGATCTCCTTCAGTCAGGGCTTGTCCCAGCTTCAGTCTTTGAGAAGCTGCCCGTGATCCTGATGACCCGTTAATTCCTTGAGTTACTTGTAATGGCATGGGTTTGGGGAGTTCTGTTGATTTTCTACAAATCAGCATTTGTGTTGCACAAGCTTTATAGCAATGCAAGATTGAAACGTAGATATATTTTGGTCTTAAATAAAGAAACCCCATGACCAGGAGCAAAATCTACTGGTACCAACTGAGAGCCTGAAACATGCCAATTCCATGCTACTGAAGACTTGCCCTCAGCAAATAACTCCCAAGTGAAATGTAACAGGTAAAAAAAAAAAAAAAAAAAAAAAAAAAAACCCCCAAGTGGAATGTAACAGGTAAAAAAAAAAAAACAAAAAAACAAAAAAACCCCAAACCACAAACCTCAAACCCTTCCCACCATCCCAATTCCAGTGTTTCAGAGTAGTTAAAGCTTCTGAGAACAAGTGAAATAGTAGTTCTGGTAGATCAGATCTCTGTAGCCTTGCTGAAGTAGTGTGTCAGACTGATTTCTTTCCCAAAGTAGAGTTCAAATATACCATAGGAAATCAGCAGAAGCTAGAAACTGCTGCCTCTTCCCAGCTGTCAAGGTGGCCTTGTGCTGACCCTGTGGTATGCCATTTTTTGGCAAGCCCTGTGTTGCTTGCTCACTACCTGCAATGGACTACGAGCTGTAATAGTTCACTTCAAGTAAAAAAAAATTCCAACCTTTCCTTAGGTAGAGCTTTGCCGAGTGTCTGGTGTAAATTCAGCTGTGATCAGATTTGGAGTTGATGTCAAAACTGGTACAAACATGTAGGCAATGTAAACAGCAAGATGACTGGGGATGAACTGTACGGAGGGCGGTGTGAGGGGAATCCCCCCATAATAAATGGCTGGACCTGCCTTAAGGCAGCAGCCAGCCAGGCAAATCCACAAAGGAGCTACGTAGCCTACTGCAAGCCCCCCTCACATCAGCCATCCCTTTTTAACTCACCCTGACATTGCTGTTTCTGACAAGTAGTGATACCTCTTATCCCTTGAAGTTCTCAGCCAGAGTCAACAATAGCTATTTCCAGCAGCCCTTTGCCCAGAAAACGACATTCTGAAGAAAAAGGCCTATGTCCTATGCTCTTTCAGCTGAGAATTGCTGCCTGAATAGCTCCAGACCCCATTTCTTTTTTTTTTTGATGACTCCTTTCAGAGGTCTTTCTTTTGCTGCAAAATCTATGTGAAATTCCCAAGCTGCCTAGGACTCAAAAGATCTAATAAAAATAAGATTTATTAAGAGCAGAGGGAGGAAATCAGATTAAAACTGAAGAAACAACTTGCATAACTGATCTCTTATGCTCAGCAACTGCTCAGGAAGTGCTCGGTACACACACATTAACTGTTTTGTGGAAGTGCTTTTCAGCCTGATCGCCAGAAACGGCAGGCAGCAGTCTGCAGAGTGTGTCTTCTCCACAGACATGGCCATTAGCTGCACAAAGCCCACCAGTGCTCATGCTCGCAGCTTCTCAGCACCAGATGCAAAGCTGTGTTTTGCTAACCCACCATTAACTCATTTTGGCTAGGGCTTGGGAGGGGTAGACGTCCCCCTGCAGCGGCAGAGGGACCCCGGGCTATGCTTTGCCCAGAGGAGCTCAAGGCACCAAGACTGTCCCAGCTCCACAGCCCAGTATCCCCCACCACAACCAGTATCTCCCTGCTTCTGCCCACCACCAGCTCTCAGTGGGAGCCATGCGTGCATGCTATGAGCCCTATGGGATGGCTCTTTCTGCCTCTCATCCCTCTGCCCTTTTCTGCCATGATTTGCTATTCCTATCAGCCCATCACCCTGTCCACCTCCCTGGTTTGGTTTGGTTATACTCCACCCTGCAGCACCCATGTTGCTCGTTTTTCTCCTTCGGCAGCATTTTTGCCCAGGTAGTCAGTGCTCAGCCCCAGCAGTTCTCGCGTTGAGAGACGTGACAGGCAAGGCAGCACCCATCTGCTCAGTCCCCATCTCCCATCCCTCTGCGGGGGCTGGCTGAGCGTGATGAAGCCCCATGTGCCAAGCTCCAGGAAACAGCTTCGGCTTCCTCCTCATTTCAAATGATGTCCAAACAGTCCTAATTCAGTCGCTGTGGGCTCCAGCTCCTGGAAGCAATTCTCACTCTTTACTGTCCTCATTTGGATGCCTTTGCCTCCGTTCCTTGAATGTAGATTTTGGACCGAGTAGCTCCACCAGCCCCCATTAACCTTCACCAGACATTTCCCTGCTTCTCCCTTGCTGAGTCCAAGCACGGCACTGCTCTTTCACTTCTGCTTCCACTGACGTAGCCTCTCCACTTATGGTTTCTCATGTTTTCTTTCATAGAAGACCTCTCACAAATCTTCATAGCTTCTTCTGGGTATTTTTCCTCCTCCTTCTCCAAAATGAAATGAAAAGGGAGCAAATGGATTTTGTCCCCTGTATCTCAGTGCAGACCCCTAGCCCCTGCTGCTTCTTGGATGCAGTTTTTGTTGCCACCCCAACCTGGTATGCAGGGATGTTGTGGGCTTGGAGAGTTGGGAATGGAGATGGCCACCACAAGAGGAGCATGGTTTTGAGAAATGACCTGCAACGTGACAGTGGCTGTGAACCTCATCCCTACACCCACTGGAGGCTGTGTGGCTGTCCTAAGGCACCTTTGCCAGCCCTCTAAGCCTTCCTGATGGTGTAGGTCCTGCGGGTATCTTCCTCAAGTCAGGAAAGGACAATTTGTGCGGTCTGAATTACTGCCCAACCCTGTGTGTGAGAAAGCAGCACAACCATGCCCAGGTATTTACAAATTATGCTTTATAATTGTATGTCATTTGCAGAATCTGGACTTTTAGATAATTCAGCTGAACTTCAGAGAACCGGTTATATTTCCGCTCATCTGTACGCTTCATCTTGAAACTTAAGCCCTGAACCAGCTCTTACTGAAATCAATCAATAAAATGCTTCCATTGACTTAAATGGAAGTTGAATCAGATCCACTGCTAACGCTCACACATGCCTAATTAACTACCTGCTGCATCACTGAGGTGAGGGGAGAGAGCTCCTCAACCATCTCAGTGAAAACGGTGACTGAAGCCCTCACTGCTTGCTTGCACTTGGGTTCGTGCAAGATGTGTCCCCTCCTGCAGTAGCCGGAGCTCTGGTGCCGGTAACATCAGCACAGCTTGCTCAGCGCCACACGTTGTTTGTCTCTCAGACTTCACAGCTTTCCAGCAAATTTTCCCCTTCCGTGTTACTTCCTCCTGCCCTGTACTGTTGCAAACACGAGCCTCTTAACACTAGGTTATCTGGACAGTTGTTCTGCAGCAGAATTTCTTGGATTCAGCAAAAATGCCTGCTGCTGTCATAGCAGCACCAAACGCGTCAGTGCAAATGACTGACTTGCAAGGGTAACAACACTCCTGGGCTTCGCAGTTGTGCACAGTGGTGCTAGTATATAACTGACCTAGGGATTTCATAAATTACCCTTTTATAGTTCTGAGCAGTTCTGAGAACACCCAAAGTCAGATTAGGGAGAGCCTTAATGCCCATCTTCCATGCTGAAAGGACGTCAGCAGCCTTGCTCTTATGGAAAGCTCAGCACCTCAGAAAAGTTTGAGTGCAGTGATAGCAGATCCTGGTATAAATATTGTAGCCCTTGGCAACTTCTCAAGAGCATGAGGCTCAATGGCTCACAGAAGGAGGGGACGGTAGCACTGGTGAGACAGGGCGTGTTGTGGGCAAGGGTGCTCAGGCTTCATCCCCACCACTTCACCCACGCGCTTATTGCCTTGACCACGGCCAAGTGAGTCCTACCAGCTGGAGCCGCCATCTTCTCACATCACACTGGTTAAGTGACATTTGGTCTTGTTATTACTTGGATTGGTCCTTAAGGAAAACCGGAAGCCCTGCAAGAAGCGATCCTGGTGACTCAGATGCTGGCACTTTCCCTTCTGAGTCAGTGCTGAGCCCATGCCTAGGCACAGTACAGGGGCATGGCATGGTGGACGGCTTTGCCTTTCAGGTGTGAAACATAACTGAGGTTGTAACCACTCATCATCTTATTCCCCTTACGCCTCCCCATCCTCACTGGCTAGTTGCTGCCCCGTTGAGCTCTGGATCCCCCGGGAAGCAGCACTTCCTCGTAATAATTTCCTCCAGTGTTCCCCCTCACTGTGAAGGAAGGAATGTTTTATATTTTTCTATTTTGTTCATGAATCAATTTAGTTTCTGAGGAAAAAATGTCACATAAGAGAAACACACCAGAGTTGGCAACAGGAGATGCAGGAAAGACCCCTCAGCCCTGCCACTCTTAGCAGTAATCTCTCTTGCAGCCTGGGATGCTAGATGGCCAAAATAAATGAATGCCTTGCTTGTGTTTCTCATCGATCTTTACATCACAAAATACATCCAAGAGGCAGCAAGTCTCTTTTTTAGAGAAATACCATATGTGTCCTGTTGACTGCAAATTCCACAAGCTGTTTGGGACCTGCAGGCTGCAGATCCAAGGCCCTAAGCAAGCTGATACCAGGAGAAGGCTGTCATGGTCAGGACAATTCATCTGCCTGTAGCCTGTTCCCACCAGGTCTTCAGGAAGGGAAGAGCCTTTGATTGGAATGACACATGGGGGAAGGCTGCAGGGGTGCATGCTGAGCAATGCTGGACACTTTCACCATTGGCTTTGAGCCTCCATGGAAGAATGTCTCATGGAGATGTTGGCAGGCTGTACAGAAACCCGTTAACGGGGGAAGGGGCTTATCTGCCAGATAAATTGTTACTCAAAGGTTGCTTGTTCTGGTTCCTGGCTGCTGCAGTGGGTCCTCGTCCCTCCAAAACGAGTGTTGTGATGCTACTGATTTCACCTGGAGCAACATTTAACCTGTGTTGTACGTCATCCTGAAAGGCAAACCAGGCCCAGAGCAACCTCCTCAACTTAAACAAAGGAGACTGAGGATGTCTTGATTACAGAAAAGCAGAATACACATTCTCCTTATTTATTGACATTTAGGGCAGTTGGAGTTGTTATAAACCATGCAGCCGAGCAGCCATTTTTTGAAGTTCTCGCATCCCAGACCAACTAACTGCGTTCATACTAGCCTCAGCAGTTGACAGCCATAGCAAAGAACTTGCAGAAAGGATAACATTTATGAACATATCAAAATGATTCATAATGGGCTATTAAAAATAGCAAGAGATGGAAGAGGCAGCCTACAGATAAGCCATTTTGAGATCCTCAGTAATTCAGAACACTGTTTTTAAAAGTCAAGTTTTAGCTCTCACAGATCTGTCCCTGCTGCTCTGCAGATAACAAGGTAGGTTGTTCTGAGCAGGGTGAGAGCTCTCTTCCACCTAGGGCTCTTTATTTCACTCTGGCAGCTATCACACAGATATTGAAAAAAGCTCTATATAACTCACACCCACCTTCCATCTCCTGTGCACTGCCAGAGCGACAAGCCTGAACACACATCAAATTCAGCCGTATTTTCCGTGGGCTGGCTCTGCTTAGTGCTGCCATATTCTAAGGGTTAATTTTGGCAAACAAGGGTAGCTGGTCAAGTAAAGCATGTGCACCCCCTGGGCAGCTTTCATAGTCTGTCAGGCACTTGTTAACACACTAACCCATTCATTTTTTGATGAATTTGTGGCATGTTGGACACGAGCCAGAGGCTGAGCTGGGAACAATATTTATTTATATCTACACACAATAATTCATGTCTGCCCAAATCACGGACTTTCCCTAATCCGCAGTATTTCAAAACATTTGCAGTTCTCTCAGCCGATTAGCATTGGCTTTGCTTGGCCCGACCTAGTGGAAAGAAACATAAGACAGTGAATGCAGCTGAATGCTTTGATTCACTGATAGAGGCTGACATTTCTGCCCTGGCTGTTCCATCAGTCCATAATTTAAAGATTCTTCTGAGATGTAAGGAGCTGCGTTTTGTGCTGCGACGACAATATTGGACGTCCAACCCTTGTTCTGTGAAAGGAGTCTTGCCAAATACCAGGCTGAATGAGGGGGTGACAGCTTTGTGTGCCACTGAAATGAAGCAAGAGCCTGCAAAAGTTGCTTCCTGAGAGCTATTTTCTCAAAGTGAATCACTCCCCGCAATCTGGAAGGAGGGAGCTGAGGCAGCCTACAGCATCAGCTTGATGGATCACAAAGTTTTCATAGTGTTGCTTTCCAGCCGCCGTGCGGCGCTACTTAAAACATAAAACACAGTGTTTGGGTCGAGGAGAACTGCACAGCAGTATAGGAAGCTACTGAAGACAGCTCAAAAATATCCTCCATACCTTCTAAATGTAAGAGGAAAAAAGAAGAAAGAAAAAGGGCGGGGGGAGGGAAGATTCAGAGGTTTGTTGGGTAGGTTTGCAAAGTATTTGGAGAAACATGGAACTTGGATGGAAACAGGTTTAGTGTTCGTCAAAGCCAGGATGAGACAAACCTGTTGAAACTGAAACTGAATTGGGGTACGACCGCAATATGTTGTACCTGGATGGTGGGGAGAAATTGGTGATTGAGTTACGAGAGAAACAGCCTCTGAAATAGCATGTGCCTCTCGGAGCTCTCGGGAGATCAGTGTTGTCAAACCCTGCCATACAGAGAGGGAAATGAAGCTCAGATTCACCCCAAATGCCATGAAAACCCCTCTGTGCTCTCTCCGTTAGACCATTTCCCCCCTATGCACAACTACCCTGGTTTTAAGAACTAATAATCACAGGGTTGCCCTATCTGGACCTCTGAGAAGGAGACAGGGAGGGGACGGCCACACTTCACAGAGTGCCATCATCCAGGTAAGAACTGGAGCAGCAAAGAGGAACAAAGAGGTTTTTATAAAGGAAAAACTTATTTTCCACTTGCCTGTAGCAAATATGGAGACCAAGTAAAATCCACCTGGCCAGTATCGCTTATTAACCAGTCCTACACTGGTGTGTCAAGGCTCTGTTTGTTTTCAAAACAGGCCAACATGACTTATTTATATCTGGTGGTAACCCAGGTCTTTTTGGTCACATATTCACCTTTGGGAGACCTTTGTAATTTTCCTTGCAGTCCAAGCAGTTTGTCTTTGGTATTTTCAAACCAGTTCATTTTTATTTCTGCAAAAATGAGTGAAGTTTAAGCCTGATTTTGTTACATGGGGAAACTTGAAGGAGTTGCATCATTAACAGCAACTTTATCTGACCTGAATTTGGCTACTGCATAGTTTACATCCCTTAGGGGAGCTTCATTACTACAGCATTAAGGAAGCTTTCTGAGTTTTTAAAATCCTCATAAATGTTCTTTTCAGACCTGCACTATAAATTCAGCTTTTTATCATAAACTTTCCCTTCCTAAATAAAAAAAAAAAATCTCTCAACTTGTTTCACTCTATTTCATGACAGTGTTTTAAAATACAATTTAATACTCATGAAATGCACTGCAAATCCATGTTTGGTGTCTATGGGCTGTATCTGGGAAGGAATGTTCTGATTTTGGCCGGGGCTTTTTTTTATTCTCACTGCTTATTACTTGAATTAAGCTCGCTACGTATGCTAGCCAAGTTCAAGATCGCATGGCGCTAGGTGCTATATAAATACAGCATAAGATGCAGCCCAGGCTGTAGATAAGTATAATCAAGCAGATAAAACCAAGGGAAGAGGGAAGTGCTGTTATCACCACTTGACAGATGGGGAGCAAGAACACGAAGAAAGGAGTATTCGCGCTAATTAACTTCCGACACCACATGTAGGGGCCCGAGCTCAGAGGACAGGTTTCCTCTGCTGGTGGTGGGGTTGTCTCCAGGGGCTGTTCACATCAGTCAGAGGGGGAACTCGTGTTGCAGAGCTGGGGAGCCTGACAAAGGGGACGTGAGAGAGGAGACACCAGCAAGGGTCTAACCCTGTGCCTGGCACAGGCCAGGCAGGTGGTGGCAGTGGCGGTGGCAGGAGGAAGCCCATCACCCTGGCTGTGGTGCCGTGGCAGTACATCCCAGCCCCACGAGCCTCCTGAAACCACCAAATGGGTAATCATCATCATGTTGGGCTCCATCAAGAGCCAGTAATGAACTAGTAATAAATAATAATTTATCTCATTAAGACACTTATGTCAACTATGTGTGTTGCTGTAGAGATGGATGCAGAGTGCAAGGGCCACTGTAAGACGTGCTTCATGCACAAGCATGCCCACGAGCCCTGGAGAGACGGGGTTTGTTGAGGCAGGGAGTTGTTAATTAGCCAGGCCAGCTCAGGAGATTGCATTAGTCTGAGACACCTGCATCTCCAAGAAAGTGAAACAGTCCTTATTCCAATTAAAGGCAGGCCAGCCCATCCATAATGAGGGAATAAACAGCTGTTTTGGGGGGAAAGAGGAGACCCAGGTGGGCCTCCAAGGGATTTCAAGGAGAAACACAGTGTAAGAGCAAACATAGCCCACCAGGAAGGAGGGTCTCGGAGGGAAACCCTCTGCAGGGCACATCCCTGCTGGAGGGCGCAAACACAGCTTTGCCGTCCCGCGCAAACATGGGTGCAAGCACGTTCAAAAAAGGGCATCAGGAAAGAGCAACAAATCGTCTGGGGAGGAGGAGAAACCTTTCTGACTTGTACTATAAGGAGTTTAAACACAGCTCTCGATTTTCATTTCTTCACCTCTGTTCTTTACACACCTTTGTAATTGTTTCTCTGTTCTTGATAGTATGAGTAAAGGCTAAGTCAGCCAGGCATGCAGAGTTTTTATGGTATTCAATATGTGTAATAGTAACTGCTTTTTTACCTATGCAATAGCCTCAATGACACCTCTATACTTTTCTACTCTTGCAGAGCTCACGGGTATAAGTTTGTCCATTTACAGCATCTCTT